TCCTGCTGTTGGCGCCGCTTGGTCTTATACCTGAAGTCATTAATGAAATTTCAATTTTTTGAGAAGAAAAAAATGTTTGTAACAAAATGTAATTTATTTTTTGAAAGTTATATTTTCCAAAATTTTCTTATTAAGTCTAGAAAAGTAATGAGATAGTAAGCATAGATAAAAAAAAATTGCACCGTCGATTCTGAAACCAGATCTTGACTTGCGTTTCCGTTAATTTTAAGCCACGCGCTAAATCTGCCCTTTCTGGACCGGACAAATATTTTTGAGCAGCAAATCTTCTTTCCAGTTCATAGACTTGCGCGTGCGAGAATGCTGCCCTGCTGCGCTTTTTTCTGTTCTGCAAACTTTGACCTGAATTTTGCGATTCGTACGCGTCGTCCTCCGCCTCGTCTGTAAGATAAATGAACGAACTTCTATTTTATATACAGGATGATTTTAACATATTTCGTTGGCAAGAGACAAAAATCATTTATTTTTTCTTCTCATAGAACTCTAAAAATTTTTTCAGAATTTTTTATCAACTTTTTGATAGTGCATTTTCTTATTTTTATCAACATGAGGAAATACGATATTAAAAAATTCTGAAAAAATTCTCAGAACTTTATGAGAAGAAAATAAATGATTTTTGTCTCTTGCAGCTTTTCTATAAAGTTGATAGTATTTGATCAAAAAATTATTCAAGACCAATATTTGGCAATGTTTAGTAATTAATATCTTGTTAACTATTGCGAAAATTGCAAAATAATAGAGGACTTTTCGATTCAATTCGATTCACTCTATCTCATGATGAGTGACGAAATATGTTAAAATCACCCTGTATAGTGATTTGTTGCAATGTGGACAAATTTTAATTAATAGAGAATTTAAAAAAATAGAGTTTTTATTGTACATAATTTCCATAAAATTTTGGTTGTTATCAAACACATTCTAATATATATCTATAAATCGTCATTTATTAAAAGAATAAAGCTTTTAAGTTTTTATGTATCGATGAATGGTGGAATCTCATTTTTCGAATAACGTGAGCTTGCCGTACAAATTCGTTTGCGGACAAATATTTAGATTAGCGCGAGAATCTGCAACTATACTGTAAAGCAATCGTTTAAGCCGGAGTAATCATCAGCGAGCAGCTATAGAGACGGTGAACGATCGGAGAGAGAAAGAACGAGAGAGAACCTCGTTGCTTTTGATGTCTCATACAAACATTAACACATGTACTCGCTACTCCGACATGTTTATGCTTCTGTTCCGCAGTAATTCTCCTCTAAGTTTAACCAGTGGCACTAGAGTACAATCGTATTGCAGATCAGACTAGCTTCTTCTACTTGGCAACGAGCTTGATCCGCTACTTTGCGATACATATCCCCCATTATGAATAAAAAATAACTTTTTTAACGAGAATAATAAAAATTAATTACATCGCTGAAAACAAATAATAGTCTGCGTTTTAATTTTATACTTGCAAATTTTTTTTATCGACAAAAAAACTAACGTATTTCAAACTAAAAATAGTAAATCTTAAATTACATTTATACATGTTTTTTTAATTACTCTCGATATAAAGCTAAAACTTTTAGTCTCTGAACATATTTTCTTGCAAAAATACTTCAATTACAGATATAAAAAAATGTCATAAATATCTGCACGGAGACTAAGAAGTAGTTTGCTGAAGTATCTAAAAATTTAGCTAAATATGGATTTGGAAATAATAATTTGGAAATAATTTTATTGGAATCAAAATATTTATGTACAGGACGCAAGCTGATTGCTAGAATGTTAAAATTTTTTGTACTATTGCTTATCATGCTTGATATTTCTACATAATTATTTTGAAATTATTTTCATAGATATGTATCTAGCTAAATTTTTAGATATTTCAACAAAATCGTTTTTTCCATGGGATTATTAAGAAATTCCGATATCTCTTCTAAAACGTGTTATCCTTAAAGTACAGATTCCTTGCTTTTGGTAGTTAATAATTGAAGTATCGTGTTAAAGGAAGATGCTTTTACGTATATTTTAAAATAAAACAAAATTTTTAATAAATTTTTTTTTTAAATCAGGAAGTGTTTGCAAATAAATCACAATGTTCTCCTAACAGTGTCATAATTATTTCACGCTCGAAATGCTCATCCTACGTCAATGTTTATCGTCGGTGGTCAGCAGGAGACGTGGAGCATTTAGAGAGATCTATATTTGATCACTTTCGACGTCGACTAGATGCCATCTCGTCCGGCTAATGCGTCCATCCTTCGTGCTCGTCAAACATCCTATGGATGTTTATATCGAGTCTATATCGAGAGTTCCAGGCAAGCAAGTGGCGTCTACTGAGTTTGATTACATCGATGATCCTTCGAGACCACTAAAATGTTTTTCGGCTTCTCCATCGCGGATAGACTTTATCAGAAAGGACGCGAAAATCAGGAAGGATTTTCTCAGTTATTACTGTAATAAGTGGTTAAGAATAATTTGTCGTGACAACGTTAATTCTTTTGACTATCCATTATCATATTAAATGACTGGAGAGATTTCCCCTCGAAAGTGGACTCGTAATTTTCTAAGTGCACCTTGAATCGGTGCCAGCTCGTGTCTACCTCTTCACCCTCGAGCTGCTGCAAACAATATACTATCGTGCGGTTTCAGGTGACAATTCTTCGTTTAAGAGCAGACGTTCTTTCGTAATGTTAATTACTGTGTATTTAATGTTATCTTTACACGATCTATTTTTATAAAATTTTACGTAATGTGTTTCCTATAATTTTTTTTTCTATGAGCGTATTCTGAAATTACTGTGAATCGTATTTTGTCTTCCTTAAATCATTTTCTTCCTTGCAATACGTCGAGTCAAGTTGTTATAAAATATAATTATCTAATTTTATCACAATTTAATACATATAATTTGTTAAATCCGGACTGAAACAATCAATAAGTAGTTATAGTCAATAATAATTCAAATTTTACATTCTAAATGCTAAAAAATGTCTTTACTTATAACTTTTATAATTATGAAGGAATACAAAGTAGAAATCCTGCATGAATGCTGTTAATCATGATTGATTTCATAAAGCAGCCAGTGCGAGGGAGAGTATCTGTTTATCCTCATACTAAGATAACACTATTCGACTAAAGTAACTCTATACCTTCGTAACGAGGGTGAGTATTACGAAAAGATGGACATGACATAAAGGGATGTAAAGGTAAACTATCTCTTGTGTGTAATACATAACGCAATGTACATATGGTACGGCTCAATTGATTAAATAGAAAATACTTCAAACATAATATATATATATATATATATATATAATTGCAACATAAAATAGCAATATTGTATATTTTTGTGTAGCACGTAGCGCAATACGTATATTGCAGCTAGCGAACGCAAACGATTAACTAAGAATTATTGCTATTCTACATAAAACACGTAGCACTACATCTGTCACGAATAAATCAATCACGAACGTTTACTCGGAAATAGTTAGCGATCGTAACCTTGATCTAAAATGGTTTGATCTAAACGTAGGTAATCTGCGAATCCTTGCGTGCTTGAGACACATAGGAACAGAGTGTGGCCAGAGATCGAACAAGTGCAAGAAGTAGCCGGTACTCGTGACGTCTGCCGAGTCGAGTGCCACTTATGCTACTAAAATTACATTCAATTACGTTATCTGCGCTCGGGTTAACTTTAAAAACCCTTGAAAAGAGCTCGTCTGTTACGTGCGTATCTGCTTAAATGACCTCTTAAGCCCGCATCCTCGTATTCGATACAAGATCCTCCGGTTGATCACCATCTTTTAGAATCTCGAAGTTATTGTTCTGGTTCGCAACACATGTTAGTTGAATTTCTTTTTTGAAGAAAAGAATTGACATGGTTTCGTCTCCTTTACGTGATTAAAAATAAATCTGTTATTTATCATAATATTTATAACGATTTTTTAAAATAATGTGACTTCAATTTTTTAAGAAAATTCTGCTTCGTGATTATATGCATGTGAAGTTGCCTATCAATTGCAGATTATTATTTTAATTCAATACTGTAGAGTTAATAACGAAAAATTCAAATATATGATGTTATTTTGATGTTTTACTCGAGGAGATAAAAAAAATTCGTGGTACGATACGTTTTTTTGTTACAAAATTATACAATAATAATTTATGCATGCGAATAATATCACGTACCTAGATATTTATTTTTACTCATGTCCAAGGCTTCATCCTGCTGTCTATGAGAAGTTTCCGGTTCTTTAACAGATTGATATGCCGTCAGGTTTCCCAGAGTTTCGAAGTGATTCTTAAAAGTTCCTTGGGTCAAGTGCGGGAGGCCTTCAAAATTTGATAAATTTGCCTGCGCCAAGTTCCTCCTCAAGATATCTAGCTCATGTGCCATATTCAGCTCTGGGGTGGGCAATCTTTGATAATGAATCACCTGATCGTGATCGTAACTTCCGTCAAACTGCTCGTTCTCCACGCGTTCATATTCACGATTGTGTCTTCTCATCGGCACGGAAACGGTGGCCTGGATTTTCTCCAAATCACATCTTCTCGAATCCACGCCAGAATTTTTTCGACTCAGGATATCAGCGATACTAAAGGGGGTTGGTTGAAGGGGTTTCGGCGAAGCTTCGCTATGTTTCTCGTCCTCCATCACTCTATGCTTCGCTATTGTTTTTTTTCTCACGACGATCACAACAAAAGCTGTCTTAAAATAGGTCTTTCTATGCACTCGATATCCTCTTCAAATTTTCTCTTCTTTAATTTTCTTCATAATTACAACCATCATTGATTACCTACACACTCCAGGAAACTCGTCTCGTCACATCTTACTAATTGTCATCGTGCAAATTCACTACCTTGTTTTTACTTCACAAAAAACTTTGACTTCTTTCACTTTTGCAAACTTGTCGAAAAAAATCGAAAGATCACACGTCGAATTTTCTCAATCACGCAGGATGCTGTCATTCTCGTTTGATCGACACGTTAGAATGGAGGATCAGCCAACGAATGCTAGTCGCCTTCCGTGTTCACATAATCCCTGGAGACTCTCGAGCAGCCAGAGAGATCGTTGGTAGGCCGACTGGCGTTATTAATTGTTATTCCCGAGTGCTCGACCCTTCCGATTCGAGTGTGCTTCGGTCAAGTGTGCTTGTCGCCCGCGGAGACTTATTTTTCGAATTACCACACTCAACCCACAACTCGCCCTTCCTCCCTCGAGAAGAGCCTCCCTCTTTCACTCGACCAACCCCCACCTAAGAGATGCTTCGCCTTCTTCTCGCCCTTCTCTTCATCCCTCTTTCCTCCTGTTTCTCTTTCTGTTTTGCTAAGGTCTCTACACGTAGATGATCTCACTCAAGACAGTTTTGTTAATCGAAAGATGGAGCTCAAAACTTATCAAATTCCGACAACGGTCTCATCAGCTATCGATCGCTCTCTCACTGCGTGTCATAGAAATGATCTTTCTTTCCTCTCCTTAACGAGCTTCGTAATGCTCTTCGTCACCCACCCTCTCAGTCCCGGGTCTCCTGAGTGAGCTTACACGCGCGAATACCGCGCGTTCTGAGGTAGGTGGAGCTTTGGGTGTTCTACGTGCGATCGGACGTGACGCTTCCGTCACGATGCAAGCCTCGCCCTACGGCCAATCCACAGCTTTTCCTGCGATGTCGCTTTTCCGCGATGGCCAATCCAGGCGAAGGCACGAGGTCGGGAAAGATTCTGCTACGGAGTGGGATTGCGGGGGATTTTTAGATCATCGTGATTGTCGCGACCCCGCCGGAAACGTTCGGGCACTTTAGAGATTTTCTCGTTTTGTCATTCGTGTCAGCGAAGATGATAAAAGGCTGCTTAAATTCTTATCGATGAGAGCGATGAAGTAATCACTCATGGTGGTCATACATGATGACAGTTTCATTATTGATATATGTTTTATGATTAAATATATGAGATTTGATCAAATTGTATTAGTACTGCAGGAAAGTAGTTATCAAATTTAATCAGATATATAATCTATTGCATTTGATATCTTTTACAACAAAATGTGATAAAGTTGTTTTATAGGTTTTCAATTAATATTTTCAATTAACATATAATACGTTTCCTATGTATTCTTTCTCGTTTTTTATATCAACCATTCTTGTTTAGTTATTTTTAATAAAATATTTTTTATCAAAAATAGCACTTGAATAATCTAAAGTATATTTTAAATGATCTACAGTTTATATCACAAAATTAAAATTTTATTTATAATTTTGAATATCGTGTAATATGAAAGACATTTGAAGAGTCAGAAAAATATATAAACTCACATACATTCAAATATACGACAGATAAAATTACAAAGAAAATTTTATTTTAAAGTCAGACGCAAATTACATTTAAAATTGACTTAAAATAGATATTTTTTTTTTAGAAATTAGTGAGGTATTACTATAAAATAAAGCATTCGACATCAATGGTAGGAATTATGTTTTAAAAGACCATGTTGCTAGTTGATGAAAAATGATCGAAGTTAGTGAAATCAAACCGGATAATTTTAAAAAGTTACTTTGTTCTCTTTGTACATAGGTACAAGCAGAATGGTAGGTGCTACTTTTCGATACGATACGAGAGAAACTGTGCAGTGCATATATAGGGTGTGCTTTACATAACAATCGCCGCTAAAGACTCGCGGCATTGTCCGCCACGTGCTAGCACCCGAGTTCCTATGATGGTTTAATTAAGTGTGAACCACAGGAACGTGGACTACGCCTGAGTTGATCTGATGATGACCTCACGCGCTCGAGATATCGATGAGAAAATACTTTCGCTCTCTCTGTTCTCTCTTTCAATAACTTATCATTGCGTGGTACATCATTCTTGTCAAAAAGACACACGTCAATAACAAATTTTATTACCACAAAAATAATAAAAATCTTAATACAAATTAATATGTTCTTATAAGAAGTTATTTATAGTGATAGACTTTTATCTTAATTGCGGAAATTAAAAATTTTTTGTCAAAAATATGGTTTGGCTTTTTCATTCAAAGTGACTTTTTTATATTAAATTATTAATTAATAGTAGAAAATTGTAAACACGCTTTAACGTTACAGTGGCAATGTGAGAATAAAAAAAAATAATCTAAGAATATTTTTTCTATACTTTTTCCAAATAAAAAAATATTTAAGAGGCAGCTGCCTTATCTTAAAGGATATATTTAATTATTTGAGATATATATTTTATCATCTTTTGCAATTATTTTGATATAAAATTGTCAATAGTTATTTTCTTGTTTTGTTGTATGGAATATGAAAAATGTATGAATACTTAAATTATGAATGATATATGATCTTTCGCGAATTCTGATAATTACTTAAAATCAACAAACTTTTTTTAAAATAAAGAACAAATTGTGTATCAAGTACAACCATTATGCTTTAAGTATCCGGACCGGAAATTGGAAAAACGCTATCCGCCATTTGCTCGTTACACTCCGTTATACACAGACGTTCGGAGACCAATCTTAAGTCTACATACCGAAACCTCTTTTTCTTGATCCGATCTAATCAATAATAAATTATAGGGGGATGGTGGTACATCTCTCCCCTAAAGCTAAGGTTCTGACCCTCCCGCTCAATTGGTCGCAATTCTTAAAGACCTTAATTGGCGCGGAAAATTATACCTTATTTCAGTTACCCCCGAACAAGACCGGCGTCCGCCCTTCGTCGATTCCATCCTTTCCTCTATCTCGCTACACTTTGTTGCCTCTCGTCTTTTCCTCCTTCGCTCGATTTTTGCCACTCGGATATTTCTTTTCACGCTATGAGCAATCGTTCGAAATATCGTGCGATGTCGAATATATAAAGCAGGTGGAATTTTTATTGAAAGACACGTCGTGAGATAGGTGGACCAATTTCGGGAAGTGTCGGTCGTTTACGAAATGAAGTCTCTGTCAGCGAACATTATCTCGCCAGCATCCGTCCGCCAACTCTGGCAGTCGTCATTCATATGACAAGTCGGTCTGTTGCGCAAAATGTCACCGGCCTCGACGTTTGTCTTAAACAGAGCTTTGCGGTTACCCTTTTAACAAGCTCGTCTTCGCTTGTCGCGTGAAGAGAGCAACTGGAGATGTCCCATAAAATCAAATAGTTCTGTACAAGGCTCTTTCCGAGCCCAATTTAACCGGCAGTCAATAAAGACTGCAAACTAACGACGGAGCTCGTTCAACGACCGTATCGGAACGAAAACGAAACGTTAACGTAAACTGAAAAACAATCGTCAGCCACGGCGGCTGTCACTCCAACGAGGAGTTGGCATCCGCGTGGCAGAGTCATCTGTTCCTTACGCGGTCGCGATCGTTTATTTTTCCAGAATGGTCGCTAAAATACTCTCGTTCCGTTCGGTCCTCCAAGTAATTTTAACTATTTATAGCGGTCCACCTAAATGAGCTATTGGGGCATCTTTTTACGGGTAAGTTCAGGCGAATCGATGAGCGAGCGGCATTTATTAGAGCTTATTCTGTAATCTGAATGTATCATGTTTTTATTTTGAATGATACTGATTAAAATAATCTTTGTCATATAAGCTTTTTTATAATTGGAGAGAATATATGACACTTTTCTTATAAATTGTATAATATATTACTTTTTCTGTAATAAAATAAGTTGTTATTTAACTGTAATAAAAGGATCCTATAATAATGTGGAAAATTGAATCACGGTAAAATGAATAAGTTTTAACATATAAATGTAGCTTATAATATGGTGAATAAAACATGTTATGGACACAAGAGTCAATAATAGGTACTTTTCGAATTTTGTACATATATATACATCAAAGTAGTTAAACTTATGCTCATAGAGCTCTTTTGATATACTGTAGCTCAAAAATTATCCATTATTGATTATCAGTAACATCTTCTGTGTGTGTGTGTGTGTGTTCACCATATTATAAGTTACATTATGTATAAAAAAATAACTCATATTTTTTCACTAAGATTCCAATTTTTCATATAATAATTGCGAAATCTTTAGAAAACGTAAAATAAAAAATACATAGTATAGTTCAAAATCTTATAAAATTAAAAAAAATTATAAATTTCTAAAAATATAAAAATTATATAAAATAATATATAAAAATATATAAAATAAAATATATAAATAAATTTTAAATTTTAGAATATAAAATTTATAATTATTACACGTTATAATCATGGGTTATTAATTTTAATAAATATATTTTTATTAACGATATTATAATGGCCTTAGATGTTCGAAGTCAAAAAATCGACAAGGAGAAGCTAATCGGGATTCATGATGTAGAGTCAGGGAAGAGAGGAAGGAAGAGGAAAAGAGAGGAAACGTGAATGAGCGGGAGTGGCGGCGGCAGCATACACTAAGCACTAATATTACGTCTCTGGACTGACAGACGCGCGGACTTTAAAACCCAAGACTAACAAACAGTTAGCAGTCATCCGGTCTTCTTGCTTTTATATTCTTATGCGCACGTTCACGCGCACGGCCGCCCATATCGCGCGCCAACGCTCGCGCGAGTAAATCTCTCTTTCTCCCGCTTTGCACTCTGGTTACTTTCGCGTTGTCAAACGGCGATCGAAATTTCCTGCTCGCCTTCGCCGAAGGCAGCAACAAGGTTTCCTGTCGACGGGGAATTTCGAAGAGAAGTCAAGCCCTCGTCAAAGCTGAGAGCGCGACTTTCGTCGTCGCGGGAATAGACATTCTTAGATATCGTTCGCAGAAGGATTGCTTCTATCGCGATACCTTGATGTGATATCCGTGGTATCATCACATATAGATTGACATTCATATATATATTTGTGTACGAGTTTTATTAGTTTGATTTATCTCATTTTATTACATATAAATAGTCTTGCACTTCAATAAACAATAAATAAATCTATAATTATAACAAATGTGGTTTTTTAAATCATAAAATTAACCAAAAAAGGAAGAGCATAAATAATTTAGACTTTTCGGCGTTATTTATAAATTTAATTACATATTAAATATCACAAAGAATATCTTGTGTTGTGGTTTTATGCTCTTCCTTTGGTTAAGTGAATATGAATAAATAAATTAAATCTTTACTGCGAATACAATTGTATTTTGGAGAAACTGAAAGAAAATAATATTTTTTGTGCTGCAGCCATTTAAAACAAGAATAAATCTTATCAATGATTAAAAATTGGATTAAGAGTCACGACTCACAGAGAAACGTACAGTAGTAAGAAGTAAACAATAAGCGAATTGACCAATCATAGTACAGAATGTAAGTAATAGTAAGTCCAAAATGTTAATTTGCTGACTGCTTACGTCTTGCTATTCATGTTTTTAGTATAGCATGATCTTTAGAATTCATCTTTATTTTTATCTTGGTATTCTCCATTTTCTATTGAGATTTTAAATCTTTATAAATAAATAATGATTACATTATATTATTTTTATGAATATTACGG